GTTGCTGTGAGCGTGATGCCATGGCACTCTACCCAGGGGGATAGCTTGAGGCTCCGAGTCAAAAAAAAAAAAAAAAAGAAAAGAAAAGAAAAATTAAACAAATTGCTCATAAATATTTATTTGAGCTGCATATTAGGGCAATCGACCTATCTATTTGTCCAGAACTTACCAGTTTTTACACCAGAAAAATCTAAATACTAGTTTTAAAACTCAAAGTCCTGTGTCCCGGGAATTTTCTCCATCTTAGGAAAACCAGGATGGTCAGGGAGCTTAATTTGTATTTAAATTCAGTTCTGACTGACTCCAAACTCCAGCCTGCAACAGCTCCATCACTGTGCTCCATCACTAGTTTGGCGTAGATAGGTAGGAAGCTAACTAGCTTACCTAACCACAGCACTATTAAAAATTTCTAAAATGCAAGTGAGTTGTTCACACCAGGAATTTTAGGATTTTTCTAAGAACAGATACGGACTTTACCGGTTTGGCTGCTTTACGTCCTACAAAGTTAGCTATTTTCTTTCTGGGTCCAAGGGGTATCCCCATCTCCTTCAGGTCATCAACTGTGCACATAAACTTCAAAAGGAAACAAACAAGCACACTGATTAGCAAAGCTAGTGACAGAGGAACTAAAATTGGAATAGGAAAATTATACAAAGAAACTACATCATCTAAATAATCTAAGAGCCAATCTTTTTAAAGTTAATCCTTTTGGTTTTAAATCACGTATTAGTTTAGGCTATAAAACCTTTGGACTCCACAACATTCTATTAACAGAAAACCCACGCATGTTATACAAAATTCCAAAGCTACAAACACTCAATGACATCTCTTCCCTCCACTCCTGTCCAAACCACCTAATCCTCCCCTCAGCAGCAATTGCTGGTGATCTGCTCTTTTTGCAGAGATATCTTATATATACACAGCATCTCTGTGTGTAACCTACTATGCATACAAACTGAACTTTGCTCTTTTCATGTAACGCACCCTAGAGATCAGTATCCTGACACGCCTCTTCCATTCAACAGCTGCAGGGTGCTCCGTTATATGGATACACCATAAAGGATTTAACCAGTGCCCACTACTGAACACACTGAAGAAGTTTCTACAGTTCTGCTATACTATAGCAAATGAGATAGGTTTTAAGTTGAATGTGTATGTAAGTTGGAACAGGTCCATTTACCTATTATTACCCTATAATAGCCTCCGTGTATAAGTGAGAGCTGTATGTAAGTTGGATGTTTGTAACTCAAGGACTGCCTATGTTACAAACGGTGCTGCAGGAAGTATCCTTGTAGATATTCTTAACTATTTCTCTACAGAAAACATTCCTGACTGTGAATTGCTTGGGTAAAGGGTATGTATCTTTTTATATTTTTAAAAGATACTGCCAAGGCTGTATCAATTTACATTCTGACCACCAATATACAACGGTGCCTTCATCCTGGCCACCCAGTATATTATTAAACTTTCTACTTTTTAAACTGACAGGTTAAAAAGAAAATCTCACTGAACTTTCAAATTTGCATTTCTGAGTTTTCATATGCTACAAAGACATTTCTTATTCCCTTCTCTATAATTCAAGTTTATATCCTTCACCTATTTACCTACTACATCATGGTTTTTCTGTAACTGATTTGTAGAAGCTTTGTATATAAAAGAAATAAGTCCGCTGTAATGAGTGTACCAAATATTTTTCTCCTAATCTATCACTGGCCTTCAGATGTTATGATTTCTACTGCCACACAATTTTTTCTTTTATGGTTTCAAGATTCACATTTAGAAAAGTTTTCCTAGATTATAAAATGTAAAGCTTCTTCTGTGTTTTTCAATTTTTTTTAAATATCAGCCTTTGCCTTATCTGGAATGTATTTTGATATGAAAGTGTTTAGATCATTCTTAATTTTCAATCCTATACATAGGAGAAAAATGTTAAACAAAAATGAATCAAACTATCATCAATACCAGAGATTCCGTATCAATCTTTTCCTTTTCAAACGTGCTAACATATTCAGCAAGGTTAAGTGCTTCCAGAGTTTCTTGCAAAGTTAGGACTTTCTTTTCATCATTGAGGTTACATGTCTCATCCAAAGTCAGCTTTGGCTCTTCAGGCATCTTAAAAAAAAAAGTAGGGGGAAACATTACAAAGCTCAGAAAAACTACCATAAAATGCCTCTTGATCTATGGAAAATCTTAAAACAATTTTGCTTTACAGAGAAATCATAATTTTAGGTAGAGTTCTCTGCAAAAATTTGAATATTCTGAAAATCATATAAATAAATCATCCGTATCATTTCTTACTATTTACATTATTTAAAATCATAAGCTTTTATTAACCTGAGCAAGAGCAAGACCCCATGTCTACTAAAAGTAGAAAAAATTAGCTAGCTGTTGTGTGCATCTATAGTCCCAGCTACTTGGGAGCCTAAGGGCAGGAGAATAGCTTGAACCCAGAAGTTTGACGTTGCTATTAGCTAGACTAAGGCCACAGCACTCTAGGCTGGGCAACAGAGTAAGACTCTGTTGGGGGGGGGGGGAGGGAGGAAAGAAGGGACAATCACAAAGTTTCACATTTAAATTTATAATCTCTAAGGAAGAAGAGTGAGAAACTCAAACAATGAGCTACAGGATTCTACTACACTTCTAAACCTCAATGTATTCTGACACTTAAAAACATTTTCAGGAAACAATTCCAATTTTGGAAAACTGTTCAAATCCAACTGTAAATAAATGTAAATGTTAACTGGGCCATGTGAAAATACCTGCTTTTCCTGAAATTGTGGCTGCTTCACAACTCCATTAGCAACAGAAGGAGGCCCAGGAGACTTTGATAAATCCCAATCTTTTTGATTAGACAAGATGTCAAACAATATTAAAGAACCTAAGAAAAAGAAGCATTTTTGCTTTAATGTAGCAGATGCTCATATAACAGTAAATAAACTCTACTTTTTTCAAGTGTACAGGCTAAAGTCATAAAAAAGATGTTAATAAAGATCTAATAACCAATACTCTTATTTTATCAAACAGTAGAATAATTTAAAATACACAGCATTCCTACATAATACTACAGGTGAACAGCAAAAGCAGAATTTAAACTCAAAGCATTCATTTCTACCCTTTATAAAACTTAAGGTCTATAATTCTAAATTTTATACAAACAATGTCACCTACAGTGAAGGCAGGGATGACTGAACAAAAATTATGCTTAAAATGTGTATATTTGATAGTTTTACCTAAACTGTGACCAGCAACGGAGACTCCTCCTTTGAAATCTGGGTTCCGACTCATAAAGAGTGCATGTAGACGGTTTATCTCCATTCCTACTTTTTCCACAATTGTCTGGCAGTAGGTAGGGCTATTATAAAATAAAATATCTAGCAAGGTTTCATTGGTAAAATGCCGAAACCGACCAATACTGGGTAAGGTGATTTTCTTAATATTCCTGTTTAAAAAAAAAAATAGGTTATACTTAGCATCCACCTTGAATCTACCAACTTTTAAAAGTTTAGATTTTGATTCCCAAAAATATACTGAGTATAAAATCCCTATAGATTAAATATGACTTGATTGTGCAGACTAAGTTATAAATCAAGATAAAGCAAAAACATTGTGACTATAACTCTACCATAAATTCGGGATTCTCTAAAGAATTGGTATACTGCAGGGTGCAGTGGCTCATGCCTCTAATCCTAGCAGTCTGGAAGACTGAGGTGGATGAATTGCCTGAGCTCAAGAGTTAGAGACCAGCCTGAGTAAGAGCAAGACCCTGTCTCTAAAAATAGCCAGGTGTTGTGGCGGTGCCTATAGTCCCAGCTACTCAGGAGGCTGAGGCAAGAGAATCACTTGAGCCCAAGCGTTTGAGTTTGCTGTGAGACAGGATGCCACGGCACTCTACTCAAGGTGACAAGGTGAGACTCTATCTCAAAAAGAAAAAAAAAAAAAAGAACTGATATATAAAGTAACATATGCAAACAAAGTTTTTTTTTTGAGACAGAGCCTCAAGCTATCCCCCCTGGGTAGAATGCTATGGCATCACAGCTCACAGCAACCTCCAACTCCTGGGCTCAAGCAAGTCTCCTGCCTCAGTCTCCCAAGTAGCTGGGACCACAGGCACCCACCACAACGCCCAGCTATATTTTAGTTGCAGCCGTCATTGTTGTTTGCCGGGCCCAAGCTGGATTTGAACCCGCCACCTTAGGTGTATGTGGCTGGCGCCTTAGCCATGTGAGCCACAGGCGCCAAGCCAAGATTTTTTATTTTATTATTAGAGAGGAAAAATTACTCTTCCATTTTTCTTTCAATTAATTGTAAATCTGGACACCTGACAAAATAGTAGGTAGAAAGGACACAAGAGAATCTTGCACAGAGAATAAAAGATGTTATATGGAATGAACACTTTCCTTGCTTTGAGAATGACCAAAATAAAGTTCATGAACATCCACAGAGAAAGAAAACATCCCCATAATAGGGCCTATGACAGGCAGAATGCTGTTTATAGAATTTGTTTTATTAAAACATGTGCCCTGAACATCATGATGTTCACTAAAATCCAGGCATGTTATTGGTCTTGTGTGCCAGCATAATAATACCTATATTTGTGGTTCTCAATTGGGAGTATTTAAAACTCAGTAGAGTATTTTTAGTTGTCACAGTGCCTAATAAGCACTACTAGTATTTAGTGGCTATCAGATGAAGGATGTTAAGTCTTACGTAGCGAAAAACAGCCCTACCAAGAGCATCTCCACTGAGAAAGAACACTCTGAAAGAGCAGTTCTCAGCCTGGAACAATTTTAACCCCTAGGCGTCATTTGGCAATTTCTGGAGACATTTCCCAGTTGTCACCTGGTGGGGAGAAGACATGCTACTGTTGCCTAGTGGCCACATGGAGAGGCCCCTAAGCAACCACTGTGGAGATTACAACAGTATTTTAAAACCAGCTGCATCTTAGATTCTCTTGAATATTTATAATAAGAATACATACGCAACACACACAAGCATGCAGAAAAGCAACATGTAAACTTTACAGTCAGTATTTAATCACATGACAGAGCAAGTTATAATTTCTAACATTATTTGCTGAAGTGATAAACTATTTCATATTATGGCTTAAAATCTGCATTTAAATTTGACTAATCTGAAAAACAGTTATAAAAATCCACAAACCTGTCAACACCTGTGGCGTCCCCACCTAGGGAACTGTGCCAGTGAACTGGAAGAAACTCCACTCTGCTTATTTTCCCATCATCTAAAGATTTCTTGAAATGTGTCTGCAGCAATTTGAGAGAAACCACCCTAAAATCATCCACTTCAACAACAACAACAAAAAAAAAAAAAACAGAAAAATTAAATTGATTAAATTGTCCTAGCTATATAGCTAGTTAGCAATTATCTCAAATATGCCAGTATTTTTTATAATACAAAGATACATTCTGGCTCAGTGTCCATAGTACACTGATTACGGCACTAGCCACATACACCAGGGCTGGCAGGTTCAAACGCAGCCCAGGCCAGCTAAACAACAAAGACAACTACAACTAAAAATAGCTGAGTGTTGGGGCGGGCGCCTGTAGTCCCCGCTACTTGGGAGGCTGAGGCAAGAGGATCATTTAAGCCCAAGAGTTTGAGGTTGCTGTGAGCAGTGAGGTTGCTGTGGGCATTCTACCCAGTGCAACAGCTTGAGACTCTGTCTCAAATAAATAAATAAATAAAAACAAAAACAAATTAAAAAAATACCTAACCCCCAGAAAGCTCTTTTTAACTTTTCAATATTTAGGAGGAATGTATAAACACCTGAGAAACATTCGGTTTGCTACCAGTAGAACTGGAGACAGCACAGAACCCTGGGTAAGGACTCTGGAATCCAACTACCTACTATGGGATCAAGGCTCCAGGACCTACTGACTACAAGGACAGCAAGGGACAGCTTCACTCACAACAGCCCTCAGTTCTTCATCTAACAGTGGGGATAACGGCGACAGTACCTAGAACCTAAGGTTTCCTTGTGAGAGTTAAGGGTTAAGTGATAATACATGCAAAGTACTTGGCACATACAAAGTATTCAATAAATACTATTATTATACACTAAAAATAAAATTTCAAAAGTTTAAGTCAACCAGACAGATTACCTGATTCCATTAAATAACTTCTCATAACTCACTGCAGGTATAAATTAAACACTGTTCAAAGCATAGGCACTCCAAGTTGCTGTAAGTGCTCAGGCAGAGGCTGTCAGTAGAGCTAAATTATTTCCAAGATCCCTTCTAATTTTTCAGACTCTAAGATTTTATGAGTTATACGTGGCAGAAGAGCAAATCAAGGGCAAAAAATATTTCCCACTGATCATTCAAATGTCCTTCTATAGCCCCTCAGCAAGCGGTATATTGCTAGGAAGTAAGCTAAAAATGAATACTTTAAACCGCTTCTATTACTTCTCAGATCATTCCATGAAATAAAATGCGGCAAACACTTACCACATTCAACAATGCTTCGAAAGCGCAAGTCACACACAGGTCCAATTCCATGCACCATGAACACCAAATGGTCAACCTGAGGCATTTCCCCTATTAAAAAAAATATATACATCATACATAAAAGCTTGCAATTGCTTTGGGTTTTCCAAATTCAATAGAAATATTCTAGATATGGTTGGCGCCTGTAGCTCAGTGGGTAGGGCACATACACTGAAGCTGGGAGGTTCGAACCCAGCCTGGGCCAGCTAAAACAACAATGATAATTGCAACAACAAAAAAAATAGCTGGGCGTTGTGGTGAGCACCTATAGTCTCAGCTACTTGGGAAGCTGAAACAAGAGAATCACTTAAGCCCAAGAGTTTGAGGTTGCTGTGAGCTGTAACACCACAGCACTCTACCGAGGGTGACTGTCTCAAAAAAAAGAAAGAAAGAAAGAAACATTCCAGATAACCCTTTTGTCATTACAAACTTGCCAAAGAAATTCATAATCCTGCCAATTAAGACTCATTACCCTCTACCAAATTAGAAGAACAATTGGTACATCATGGCAAATAATAGCAAACTAGAACACAAAGGGAAGGATGTAAGCTCTGTCCCGGCAGCTATCAGCATGTGATGACCAGCAACTTTGTACCTATGGAGCCTCTCTAACCTCGTGAGTGCTACAGAACTCCCCAGGGCACTAAGCCCCATGTGGACAAGAAATTTGCCAACATAAAACTTCAAAATCTTTCTCCAGGCTCAGCACCTATGGCTCAAGCAGCTAAGGCGCCAGCCACATACACCTAAGGTGGCGGGTTCGAATCCCCAGCCGGGCCCGCCAAACAACAAT